TGACTTAGCCAAGGATTCAACAAAGGTTAAATGTCATGCCTAAGGTCATATAGATAATAAGAAATAGAGCCAAGATTTAGTGATTGCTAGCCATTAATGTGAACTGCTCCCCGAATTTAGGCCACTCTGGACCAATAGGCTTACAAGTCAAAAGATTCTAGGGAGTAACAGTCACCATTTAGATCTGATTTTGCAGGAGCCATGGAAGAGAGGACTCATGTATGTAGTGATGGTAGTGGAGGACACAGAATCAGTAGTTCAGGCAGTTTGTTTCTGATGTTCCCATGTTTTGAAATAGGAAAATAGCCAGGCCATTTACTCCCCCATCTCTAGGATTATTGATCCTATTTGTCCTTCGTCCAGTCCTTTTGGGGGTAAATGGTGACATTTTGTGGTCCCTGACTATCATGTCGCTTCTAAGATCCTCAAACCCCAGTGTCCCTTGTATCTAGGGTATCCAGAGGAAATGAGAACAGGTGGAAAGAATGAAAGGAAGTCAGGGGAGGAATAGAGCTGCGCCTGGCCTGATGAGGGATCATTCTTAGCCCCATCCACTCACCTGAGTCTGTAAAGAGAGTCAGGGAAAGGAGCAGAAGCCTGGGATGAACAGGGTGGTGGTGGAGGTCCAAGGGTTGAAAATAGGGGGAGGGGGAATGGAGGGCTGTCACAGGGAGGTCCCCGTGTGAGATTGTAAGGCCGTGTCATTTTTTCCTTTAAATCTTGTAATTTCATGCTCCAGAGGACAACAAAAGTGAGAGAGTCAGCGGGGAGTGAATCAAGCTCCCCCGGCTGTCCTCTGCCCCAAGAGACTGAGAAGGACAGTTCAGCCACTTCCAGTCCCAATTGCTCCTTGGAAATGTACCTCCCCTTCTGTCTCCCCAACTTCCCTGGAATTCTGGGAACTAAGTCCTCTCTTTCTCGAACCCCACTCCCCACTCCAGACAGCCCTCCTTTCTCAGGTTCCTGCCCTATCCTCTCCCCTTTCCCCAGACCTTATCCTTATGTCTTCCGTGGGCCACATCCCCTTAGACTGCTTCTCCACCTCTTGGCTTCCTTCTGGCCTCTGTATTCCAAGCCCTTTTCAATCCTTATGGGCAAATAAGGAACTCTTTGTCCAACTAATGTCAAACCTGGAAATGATGAGTGGAAAAAGATGGCCCCCTCACTATCTTCACTCTGATTGGAGCTGCCAGCTATTTCCCTTCCTTCAGGCTCTTCCATCAACATCCCCTTGTCCCTAACCTTGCCACCTCTTCTGAGAATCTTCTGACTTGGTTGGGTGGGATGGATAAGAAGGCAATCTTGTATTTAAGAAACATACCCATTACACCATATCTCCAGACTCTGGTAAACTCCTTGGAAAAGATAGATCAAAGGTTTAGAGGTTGAATTCAATTCAACTCAACATTTATGAAGCCCCAGTTCTGCAAAGCACTGTACTAGGCACTAGGTCCTTAGACAAATGGGAGATACCTTAGAGGTTCTCTCTCCTCAAAGGGTTCTCTACCTTTCTTTGTGTCATGGACTTCTTTGTCAGTCTGGTGAAAGAAAACTTACACAGACTTCTTCTCAGAATAACATTTTTAAATGCATAAAATAAAATATACAAGATACAAAGGAAACCTATTATGTTGAAATAAAGTTTAATTTTTTTTCCCTATCTAAGTTTGGATGCCAGGTTAAGAACCTCTGATCCAGTCTAGCTCCCTCATTTTATAGATGAAGAAACTGAGGCCCGGAGAGGAGAAAATGACTTCTTCAGGGTTATGCTGGCCAAAATGAATAAAGCTAGGATTCTTCTCTGGATCTCCTGCTTCCAAATCCAGTAAGCTCAGGAACTCAGGGAGTGTAGGGTGGGGTGGGGTAGGAAGAAGACTCCCTAGATAGAAGGGAGAAAGAATGAGGAAAGGCAACAAAAGTAGGAATTTGTTCTGGCCTTGAGACCCAAGTCTGGTCTTCTCCCCATTCCCCCAGGGTAGGTGCAGGGCAGGAAATACTGCCACCTGGGAAGGGTCAGTGATACTGTCTACAACGCTAAACTTGGGGTTGGACATTTGAATTGGAGGCTGGGAGGACACTTTGTCCTTTGGATGGGTTGTCTCTCTTACACTTCTATCCTAAGACTTCTCTTCCTCTTCCCCACCCCTATTAAGCAAATGACTTAATAGAGGTGAGGAGGGCCATCAATTAGGCCTTTAGGACAATGTATTGCAAATGTATTGCATTTGATTTGGGGTCCAAAGATCTGGGCTGAAATCCTAGTTCTGCCACTTATTGTCTGTGTGGCCTTGGTTAAGTCATTTTTCCATTTTGAATTTCAATGTCTTCATCTATAAAATGAGGAGATTAGACTAGATGACCAGTAAAGTCCCAGCTAAGCTCTAAATCTTTTGACCCTATGGTCTGCTGATCACAAACTCTGTGAATCTGAATTTTGAGGTGGGGTGATAGAGGAGCTGGAATGCCTCCAGCCTTACTGAGGGTGGGGTCAGCTTGGATCAATCTCTTTATATGTATACACCAACTTCCTTAGGTCTGGGACTAAGAGGGATGCACCCACTCTGACCGTGTGGTGACAACCTTAGCCAAAGCCAAGAATGACAGTGATGACAGGCAGTGTGGCTAAGTGTCTTGAGTGTCAGGAAGACCTGGACTCTCATTTCCCCTCTGACACATATGTATGTGGGATCCTGGGGAAGTCATTTATCCTATGGGGGGGGGAAGTTACCCCCAAGCAACTCTTTAAATAATAAATGAGTTGCTGAAATACATTAATAGAGGGGGTTTCCACATTGGAAATTCCCCTTACCAAAAGGGGAAACCTTAGTAGTGAAATCACACAGGATCAAAAGCCAGCCTGACTTGGTCATCCCAACAACAACCCCCCAAAAAACCTACCCCTAATAATGTTGGATGAGCTATTATTGAACTATTATTGGATTGAAGGATCTGTGAAGTTCATTTCAACTCTAAGGCCCCTTTTCTAGTTCATTTTACAGATGAGGAAACCAAAGCAAACAGGGCTAAGTGACTTGCCCGGGACCACGTAGCTAGTAAGTGTCTGAGGCTGGATTTGAATTCTAAATGATACCACGGGTGTCTAAGTTGGGGAACATATTTCATCTGAAAGGTACATATGGTGTGAATAGGGAGATACAGAAAATGAGACTCAGAAGGTAGAATCGTAGATGTAAGGCTGGCCCTCAGAGGCCACCTCCTTCACTTGACAGATAAGCAAACTGAGACCTAGGGAGGTTAAGTGACTTGCCCAAAGTCACACACATAATAAGGATCAGATGTGGGATTTGAACCCAGGGCCTTGACTCCAGAGTCAGTGCTCTTTCCACTGAGCCATACCACCTTATTTTCATGGATTTAGATTGGGAAGGCTCTGTTCATTCCATATCCTCCCTTATTACTTATACTTTTTTTTTTTTGGAGGGGGAGGAGTATTTCCAAGTATAAACATAATCACAGTGGTCCCTGACACTGCTAGTGCCTTCCCTTTGAGATTATCTCTCCTTTAGACAGTGTATATCTTGGTTATATACATGGTGGTTTGTATGTTGTCTCCCCATTTAGACTGGGAGCTCCTTGAGGGCAGGGACCATGTTTTTACCTTTCTTTGTATTCCCAGGTGCTTAGCACAATACCTCTTAAGTACAGTAATGAGTGCTTTTGTGAATGCTTGTTGACTGATTCTTTTTAGACCTTGAGATGTCCTTGTGGAGCTCTCATCCTTCTGAGCTAAAATTATAAGCTGATTGAGAGGAAAGATTGGCTTTTTTGGTGCTGTCTTTATATGTCCGGAGTCTGGCACTGGCAGTATGCTTTCCATGTTTATAAGAGCCATTCATTAATACTTGTTGAATTGAATTAAGGAATATAGTGCTTAAACTTTCCAATGCCGGGCCACCAACCCAGAGCTGGGAATTGAGATAAAGTCAAGGTTAGATTTATTTCCTATACTTTTCTGATCAATCATTGACATCTCTGGACCTACCCCTGTTTCTTCCCCAATCTCCAGTCCCTTACTGATATTTCAGCTTCATCCACACCCACCAGAGCCTGCACTGCTACCCCCCAGTCACTACAAAGATCCATCTGATCTCATCCCAGTTCTCCCAGAGCCCCATCCACCTGCTCATATCACTCACTGACCCCATAGTAACTAACCCTGAATAGGGTTGCCCACAATGACACCAACCCCTCACCCCATGCCATGTTGTTTCCTCTGAGTCCACACTGATCCAAAAGGTCCCATATAAATCACACTATCTTCTTTGACCACACACTGGCCCCCTGACCTTATTGACAACCTCTTAAGACCCCACACTTAATTTCCTTAATCCTATAAATTCTGTCCTACTACACAAAGACCCTTTAGACTGAATTCTGACTTCTAAAGACCTAGACTGCTCTAGATCCCGAATTGAACTTGTTGAGGTCTTAAAACTCCACACTCACTCCTGTGCTCTTCATGAAAGCGCTTCTCTGCTTCCTGATTCCCCCAAATCCACACTCAACTCTCATAACTCTAACATGATTTTTGACTTCACATTGGCCCTGTGTTGACTCCTAGGCCCTACTTTTGACTGCTGACCCCATGTTTTTACCTATGACCTATCTTCATTAAACTCCTTGAGTCTGTCTTGACCTATCATACCCTACAGTAGTTCCATATTCCATCCTGTTACTCTTGATTCTCTCCCCAATCCTTGAACCCCACCCTGAATCCTAGATCTTATAAAGTATGTCAGATCTCATATTGACCTTTTTTCTGACCTCTTTCATTTGCCCTGTAGCCCCCTGACCTTATATTTGCCCCTGTGGTCCTATTTCAATGACCCTTTGACCCACCTATTGACCTCTGACCTACCATTTATCCTCTCCCACAGATCCTGGAACCACCCCTCTCACTGTATATTTACCTGATGCCTCCCCCCTCCCCCCCCTCACCAATGAGCCCTCTCCACTGACCCAGGCCCTCTGTGTTCCAGGCTCTCCAAGTAGCCCGACAGTTCCTGCTACAACAAGCCTCAGGCCTGAGCTCTCCTGGAAACAATGACAACAAGCAATCTGCAGTACAGGTAAGGAGGTCGGGTCAGGTGTCGGTTGGTGTTGGGGGGAGCCATTGGTCGAGAAGGTTCAAGGTAAACTGGGGGGGTACAGTCCTTGGGAGAACAGCTTGGACAGGAGAGAAAGGGAAACTGAATACCATAAACAGAAGACTACAGCTGGGGCAATGTTTAGCCCCAGTTCTCTGTCCCCCCCCCCAAGGCTGACCCCACCAGGACAGCTCCCCACAGTGGTCACTGGCAAAGACGTTTGTCCCCACTTAACTGTCTGAACTGGTTCCATTTCTAGGCTGCCCATGTCTTTGTCTGTTTCTGCCTCTCTCTGCCGCTGTCTCTTACAACATGTGTGTTTCTGTCTATCTCTCTGGATCTCTGACTCTTAGTGTTCAGTTGCCCTGTCTCCATGCCTGAATCTCTGCCTCTGTCCCTAATGATCTCTCTCTGTCTCTCTGTCTCTGTCTCTGTCTCTGTCTCTCTGTCTCTCTGTCTCTCTCTCTCTCTCTCTCTCTCCTTGTTTCTTTGAAGCTTCTTGCTGTGTCTCTCTGCCTCTGGGGCCTCCTGGTCTCTGTATACTGTCTCTCTACGTGATGTCTCTCTGTCTCTTTTGTTTTTCTTTGCACAATCTGCTCCCCCCACCCCCCCCTTCAGCTTGTCGGTCCATCTGGCTGGTAGGGGGAGGGGAAAGGGGGTGGTGGTGGAAGGAAGCTCAGCCTTCTGTTTACTTTTTGTGTCACAAAGAACTTGGGAGAATTGCAGACATGAGTCAGGGATGGGTCATAACTCAGACAGCCCCCCCCTTCCCTTTTCCCTCCCCTCCCTCCCCTCACCCGCCTTGTGGTCCCCCTCCCTCCCCTCTCCCTGCACCCCCCTCCCCACAGCAGCTGGGGGAAGCTCTGAATAGGGGGAGAGGATTAAGCGGCTGCTTTGAAAGGAAGTTTATCTAAGAGAGGAAGGGTGAGAGTGATTCTGAGCAGGAGGGGATCTGGAATCTGGACTGGGGGGAGGGGATGTGGAACAGTTGGGGGGCTGAGGAGAGAAGGGGCTGAGAAGGGGGAGAGTTGGGGAGAGGGGCCAGGGAGAGGACAGAGGAGGGTGGACTGAGGGCCCTGAGAAGCGCGTGTGTGTGTGTGTGTGTGTGTGTGTGTGTGTGTGTGTGTGTGTGTGTTGGGGGGCAGGGGGAAGCAGGGTAGCATAATGAGAGATTGGGGAGAGGGGGCCAGCTCTGCAGTGGGGGCCTGCAGAGTGCAGGGAGATGGCAAGAAGGGTCTAGGGCTGAGCTGCGCCCCCATGAGGGAGATTTGGCAATGAATAGTTTTTTTTCTGACATTTGAAATAGTTTGGAGAAGTTTTATAGTTGCTCAGAGATGTAAGACATCATCATAGTAATCCAAGTCTTGATCAAACGGCTGGTAGAGAAGGAGTGGGTAAGGTTAGGGGGAAATGACTTCCTAAACCAACCATTGTAATTAGCCAAAGCCCTCCCACCCATGTTGGCCACCATGTGGTCTAGTAGAAAGGAACTGCATTTGGAGTCAGAACAAATGAGTGAATGAAAGAGCATTTATTAAGCACCTGCTGTATGCCAGGCACTCTTGTTAGGTGCAGGGGGTTCAAAGACAAAAGGGAGACAGTCTGTGCCCTCGAAGAGCCCTTGTAAGTAGTCCTGGGTTTCCTGATAGTTGAGTGAATGGTATGTGAAACATTGGGGTTGGCTAGACTAGAATAGGCCAGGTGAGTTTGTATGCACTCACCAATCAGGACCGCTCACTCCAGGGCAGAGTTCCAAAGCTGAGCGGACCAACTCCTCTAGGGAGGAAGGAAACAGAGCACTTGAGCTCAAATCCTGGGAACCTCTGGCCAGTCATTTAATCTCTGGGCCTCAGTTTTATCATCTGTAAAATGAGAGGTTTACTAAATGACCTCTGAGGCCCTTTTAAATTAGAAATCTACCATCCCATGATCTTCCTGAAGGTAGAGAAAACAGGAAATAACCTTGGGTCTAGGTCTGAAATGAATGTAGGAGCACTGTTCCTCCATCTAAACCCATCCTCAGGAAACATGGCCCCCTCCCCTGGCGGGGGAGGGGTGGGGGGGACTCTATGAATGTCACCCCATGGGGTGGAGGTCACTTTCCAAAACTCTGCAGATGGCTCACAGTGCTAGCAAAAGGACAAGGGTGAATAAAGTTGAGCTGCATCAGGAGGGATTAGGGTCCAGCATCAGAAATGATTTTTCAGGTGGGGGGGAGAGATTAGGAAATCCCTTTCCTAGCAGATTTCCCCAATATATGGAAGGAAAGAAAGGGAGAATGCATTTATTAAGCACCTACTATATCCCTGACTCTGTGCTAAGTGCTTTACAAATATTGTCTCTTTTGATAATGGACAATAGCAATCCTAGTCAGTCTGGACTTTGTGAGGGATCTTTGTAACTGGAGGTAAAGAGCCAGATGGGGTTCTTTTCAGAACCTTTTCCCCTATTCCCTCAAATCATATTCTCTTCCAGTAATTGAGAACAGAGCCCCAGTCTGGGCCTCCCCTTGTGTCCTGAGGGAAGGTGGTCTCAGAGAATGGGGTCTAAGGGAATATCCTGGGATGCTTATTTGAATCAGGACCCTTAGACTTTGCTCTCCTCTCACTCATCATCTAGACATGTTGATTTTCTCTAGAGATATGAAGGAATACTGCTCCCCCCCACCCAGCACTAATCTATTTTCCCCTACTCCCTAAATCCTGACTCCAAAAGAAAGAGGTTCTGTCCAGGGAGTAGAGGAATCTGGAGACTTTCTGGGGAAATTGCTTTTCTTCTAAGCTCAGAAGCGGGTAGGGAGATGTGGGGAGGGTGAGAATTGGGGGGGGGGGGACGGAGACTGCACTGAAGCGGAAAAGTGTATTTTGTTGATTTGAAACTTGAGTGAAATGGGTAATGAAGACAGATCGATGGCAGCCCTTTTCCTGCTCCACTGCTTGCCTCCCCCAGTTCCTTGGGCCTCCCTCCCCTTCTCCCTACTCCCAAGGGTTCCCTGAACATCTCTCCAGCCAAATTCAATTGAGTTCCCAAATTTGGTGTTAAATTTCTGACTCTGGCCTAGGGAGGGGTGGTGAACATCTTTTGCCAGGGCTTGGAGGGAATGAGAGGCTTGGTGCTCAATCATTAAAGAGGTGGGGGTTTGGTACCCTTGGGAGGACCCACTATTTCCCAGCCTCAAATTTCCTGCAAAGATGTCTTGGATATTTTTCCTTCCAGCATTTCAGAAGTTTCACCCACTATCTCACTTCAGTCCTTCCCCCTTCAAGTTCAGGCCTGGTCCTGTGTTCCTCAGAGTAGAGAGAGTATAGTCATTCCTGGTACCTTGTATTTGGACACTCCCAATCATTTTCTGTCAGAGTTCAAGCCTAGGCTAGGATCTTTTCTCTCTCTCCATTCTTTTCCAGGGTCAAAGGAATCCTTATATTGCTTTTAAGGTTTGTAATACACTATTAACATGCATTATCTCATTTGATCCTCACAACAACCCTGTGAGATAGGTGTTGTTATTATCATCCCTGTTTTACAGAGGAGGAAACTGAGGCAGACAGAGGTTAAGTGACTTGCCCATGGTCACACAGCTAGTATGTGCCTGTGATAGTATTTTAACCCAGGTTTTAAAAAATGTCTTATTGATGGGTTTTTCACCTCACTGTCATTTCCCAAAGATTCTACCCCCTCAAGCACACACCCACACACATACTCCCTTAGAAATCACTTAATTTAATCTGTCTTCTTGATTTCAATTTGCAGCAAGACATCTACTATCCACCACATGATGTTCAGTTGAGGGTTTGGCTCCAGTGCATCAGTCTCATTCATCTGGGGGACCCCAGCCTGACATGAACCTGTCCTGTCACTATTCTATGATCCCTCTCCACTCAGTCTTTACCAGCCAAGACTCTCTCAGTGTAAATGATCTTTGGCTGGGAGAGAGAACTAGTTGGGGGGAGGGAGGAGTGGCAGGATAGTCGGTGGAGATTCTTTGGCTCTTAGCTCGGGGGCAGGGAGGAGAAGGTTTAGGGGAGGGGTGGCCTGTGACTCTTAGCCTTAGTAAGCACTTTGCTGGGCTGGCTCCTGGCCAGATGGTTACTCATTAACTTTGCTGAGCTCACTATCTGGCAGATGCCCATCCTGACACATCCCTAACCCAGGCCTCTGAAGCCGGGGGGGGGGGGGGGGGGGGGGGGGGGGAGCCTGGGGAAGCTGGAGTCCTGGAGTCCGATTCTCATGAGACAGAGGAAGTGAGAGGCCCCTTGAGAAAGGGGTTAAAGTCAGGGATGTAGGCAGCTATTCCTTGGCATGGCCAAAGGCGTCATGATGTTGGCTGTGCCATTTTAGTGAGCAGCACTCATCCCATGTAACTTCTTGGACCAAGACAGAGTGGGTTGGGCACAGGCCCAGAGACTCAGTTGTCTTGATAAACTGAATCACAGATTCACAGATGCAGGGGACTTTAAAGAGTCATCTTATCCACTCCTTTACCTCCAGACCAGACAGCCAGAGCGGGAGAGGGTTAGTCTCCCCTGGAAAACAGATCCCCATAGCGTCTCTCACTTATTCTTCCTAGTGACTCATATTTTTATAACCAGAAAGTTCTTCCTTTTGTCTGACCTCAGATTCTCATGTTGTGGGCCAGATCTGTGTGTTCCACTCTTACCGCCATCTCCCCAGAAGGAAGCATGGGGTAAATGGAAAGAATCCTGGAATTAGAGTCACAAAACTAGATTCAAAATCCCAACTGCTACTTACTAGCTCTGTGACTTTGGGCAAGATAGTTCTCTCTCTGAGCATCAATCTTAGTGGTAGTGTGGTTCAGTGAATTGAGCAAGTGATTAGGAATCAGAGGCCCTGGGTTCAGATTTCACCCCTGTCACTTAAACTCTCTGGTTCTCAGTTTCCTCATCTGAAAAATGACGGGGTTGGACTAGATGGCCTTGGAGTTCCCTTTGAGCTGTGACTTTGGGACTCAACTCTAAATTGGA